AGAAGATTAATGAACAACACAATCTACAACATTAACTGAAATAGATATTTAGATAATTTTAGCTTAGCTTATACCGTCCGTTATACATTAAACTCGCATGCGCAGAAAGTTTGTAGCTTTGAGTTCCGGATTATAGATCATTCTAGATTAAAGAGTTTTGACTGTATAATGATTTTAATATATATAGCTAATGTAATTTTCTAGATCCAGCTAGTAATTTAATAATAACTGAAATGAGTCTGTATGTATTGCTTTTAAATCGCTTAATTTATTAATTAATATCGCAATAAATTTGAAAGGAAAACTAAATATCTTATACTTCGCTGAATGCTAACATACTGCCACGTAAAATGTAAACATATTTTAATTCGTAAAGAGAAACACATTTCTTTAAAATCGCTGAATCTATTGATTAAATTCAAAACACAAATATGTGTTACATATTGTCAAGTGGTGACACATTTCTATTATGTCACTGAATTTATTAATTAAATTTGAATATCTTATGCTGGACCAAATGATAGCATAAAACTTTTATATCTCTAAGTTTTTGATCACAAGTTCCCTAAATTCATACCAAAAAAAAAGTGTAAATAAAAGACAAATTCAAAATTCAGACTTCGAATTTCTGCCTAGTTTGAGTAGAAGACTGTGGTTTCAAAATTTAATGGCTTCACAGGTGTTTTCTCACAATGTGATTAAGTTTGAAGAACAAATATATGTCATTTAGTCAAATAGCAACATACTTCTTGTATATGCTTGAATGTTTGATTGAAATCAAAACAAAAATCCCTTACACTTTGCAGAGTAGCAGTACAAAACTTTTAAATCTGTTAATTTGTAATCAAAATTTCATTAAATCCACACAAAGTGTATAATAATTTTTTTTTTTTTTTTTTTAATTCGGACTTATAGATGCACATGTTCAGGTAGACCAGGAGTTCTCAGCTGGGAGAAATTTCATAGTTTAAGGAGTTTATCAATTAATAAAAACTATTCAAGTTTTGGTGTTTATCAATATGGTTTTTATTTTTTCTTGTTTAATTTATAAAAGCCGTTGAAAGTAATCTAAATTTAAAGAAATGTGTATGTAATTTTTTAGTTTTGGAAAGAATTGGGGAGGGAATGATCATCTAACAGTGGTTAAAGGGGTGCATGGCCAGTAAAGGTGGAGAACCCCTGAGGTAGGCTATATACATACAAAATTTGGTGGCTCTAGGTGTTTCTGGTTTTTCTACAGTGTGAGGAACATATAGAGATTCTTCACTAGTTAATAATACAGATGACCCTGATATTAGTAAATTCTAGGCTCAAGGGACTATAGGCCTGTAATAATAGCTTCTTTCAAAAATCATTTAAAATTCCTGTGAAAAAAATTGAGTAGATAAAGATATCAAATATCTAGTAACATTGTTTTATCAAATCAATTTCAAGCAGTTCACAGTTTAATTTTTGGGTGATTGATGATAAGCTGTATAACATTATCACTGATATGCTGCAAATAAGCAATAGTATACTCACAATGCAAAAATTGGAGTAATATTATTGATAGGATGATAAACAGAGAATAAAAGATTGAAAGCTTGCAGTTTGGAATATCACTATTACACATTGCATGAATGGATAAATTTTTTTCAAATGCCCGCTAACATTTTACCAACAAGTTTCCAGTAAAAAGACGATAAATTCAAGGAGATAAGGTAGTTGAGGCAAAGTGAAACAAAGCATTTAAAATCTATTTAGAGGAAACTCTGGATTAATTGTGGACAGACTCAGATGTGTGGCCTTGGCAGTTCAAATAAAGAAACATGGCAAGACCTTTCCCCCCCTTTATCATTAAGATACATGTTAATTTAATTTAAAAAATACATTAATTTTAGTATCTGTATTGCATGGTCACAAATACATATGTATCATATCATATAACTTTTTTGTGTAGCAGCATTTTAATAATATCTTGGGTGTTGGTAGCAGCTGAGAATTAACTGAGATATCATAAATGTAAAAGGTTTTTAAATAATTTTGTTGCATAGATATTGTGAAATTGTTTATATATCTCTTTATATTCTTGTACTGTCTATCTCCTCTAACATTGTTCCTAAACACTATTAACATGTAAAATGTAGAGTAGACCTAAGGAACTTCATTACAGAAATTAATTCTGAAAAGGGTTTTGGGAGCCAGAATGTCTGGGAACTGCTGGTTTATGCATTTGTTTTAGTATTAATTAATTGTACTAAAATTGTTTAATGCTTAAAAGTATTTTTATAAATTAACGATCAATAGAAACTGTATTTCATAATTAGAAAATTTTTAAGTTAACTATTGAGTAAAAATTGTATTTTTAATGTTTAGCAGAATGTTATTATTAAAAGTTTAATAGTGACTAAACTATTATATTTGAGGTAGTAAATCAAATTAATTTAATAGAAAATTCAGTTCATAAGAGTATCCCTATTTTTAATGGTTTTAAAAATATTTATATTAAGGTAGGATGTGTCTGAACTATCATTTTGTAAGTAATATAAATTTTTGAAAATTGCTAAATGGTCATTAGATGGATGCATTTTTCATAACTATAGAACTATAATACATATGCTAGGAATTAGAACGATTTGAAAATAGTTATAAAATTAATAATTGGAATATGTGGAGTGGCAATTATCTTAGTTGTCTATTAATGAAAATCAAATGCAAAATTTAACATTTAAAACCACGCTTATTAACTAATTAGATTAAACACAATATTCTTCAGAAATCCATGAGCTTTACAAAATAAAAACCTGTGTTATGACAGTTTTCATTCAAGGAACATATTAGACTGAATGTGGGTTATTGTGAATTCATTTTATGTTTTAGTTGTTTATGCTTTGGTATTTTTTATAATAGTTGTTTACGTTCCGTGTTAGAATGGCGCCGAAATGACGCAGTTTCGAATTTAAATATACTTAATAAATTCAGTCACTCTCGGTCTATATAAACCAAACTGAATACATTTAGTAATATAACATTCACATGTAAACATCTAGTAATAATTCAGCAGTACAGATAAACTTTAAAATCAGAATTATAACAGTTACAGGTCAGCTACATTTTAAGCGACCAAATTCTACGAACGACAAAAATCTCAAAAGTGTGTTGCCAACGCAGGGCAACGAAAAGATGGAAATTAATTCGATAGGCTTGGAAGTGAACAATAGTTATACTGTGTTTTTGGTCTTAATTGGTACTTAGAATTACGAGTGTGAAGGATATGACTCAGTAAATATTCTTAGTAGACATGATGCCACATTGGTAAAACGCAACTTTATTAACATGACTATTCATTAAAACAGGCAAACTTCTATATGAATACGCAAATTTTCTCATACTTAAGATAAGGGCAGTGTGATTGACCTCGCTGGCAGTTATTATGAAAAACAGCATGATGTCATATGGCAGCGTGTGCAACCGAACATAAGACCGCCACAGTATCGCCCAGTGACACAGTCATGACACAATAGGGGTTGATTGCGAAATTCTAGTTTAAAATAGACACATTCAATATAAAAGTTATACTTTAAAGTGTAAGTATAAAAAACAAGAAATACAGAATATATGAGTAGTAATATACAAATAATAATATACTTAAATACTAATCAAAGTATATAACAATACAATGCATACCATAATTAAACAAAAATAATGAAAAGTTAATGAAATAAGAATTTTAAGCAACTTCCTAACGTATACAAAAGAAATTAATCAAGTATTTATGTACTATAACTTTTGTAGCAAACCAAAAGAGAAAAAATATTCAGTTATATTATAGTGATCAGCTTTTGGAGAAAATGAACACATCTACTGCGAGTAATTATTTGTTTTAGAACAATGTTTGAATCTTCACAGACTTTTTAATGTGGAATCTGAGAAATTACAGGTGTGTCTATAAGTTCTGACACATATGCACTGGTTTTAAGCGATTGATTGAAACCGTAATCTTTTTTGTTATTTACCTCAATAATAAAAAATTTTTGTCCATTCATTTAACAATTGCATGAGGACCAGTGTAAGGTGGAGTAAGAAAAGGTTTAACAGAATCGATCCCTAGAAATACGTAACAGGTTCGAAGTGCCACGTGTACATAAAACAGGGTTCATAGGGTCCTTAAGAGTCCTTAGGTTTTTTTTAATCAATTTGTGGTTTCAAGTCCTTAATTTTGGGCAAAATCAGCAGAAGGTCCTTAATTTTAATCATCTAAAATTTCTGTCTGTTTTTACGACTACCATTTTGAGCTTGAATTAGCATTTTGGAGGAATATTTTTGGTGATTCACTGACATATGTGGTTATCTTTTGAATGGGTTATAATTTGTTTCTATTTCTAATATAAATGGTGGGATACTTGAGTTTCTAAGCAAAAAATGAAATGTAAACATTTCGAAATTCATTTTTTCTAATGAAGAGCTCTAACTTTTTGCTTTTCAGGAGGTAAATTCTTTTATTAAACAGTTCTAAATTTGGCGACTTATCAATATTGTAGCGATTTTAAGATCAGTTTCTATAGAAAATTTTTAATTCCAAGCTTCAACAGTTTTTATGTAAAACATTGTAACATTGATAAATTTCATTAAAATAATGGTAATATACTGAAATTATATTTAAAAAATAACATTAAAATGAAACATTTTAATATTTTGCTATCATATTATAAAGTTCCATTTTGGTAACTTATTATACAATATTTTGAATTTGAAAAAAAAGGCACAGTTTACAAAACAGTTCTTAGAAAAGCAAAATTAGCTATGTAAGTAATTAAAAATGTCTTCTTTTTAATTTTTTCATAGTAAGAGTTTTCTTGTAATTGTCTCAAAATATTCATAATTCTTAATTCTTAGAATATGCACCAGTTTTCTGTATAAAATTATTTTTACACTTTTTACCTTCTCTTTTTTTTTCCCTTCCCCCAAAATATTTCTGGTGTTTTGCTGTTATAGGATTAGTAGTGATAATTTTTCTTTAGGATTTTGGGCATTGGAGCTTGGAAAGTTTAGAAGGATTTGAAGCAAGATTTATAGACTCACGATTCTAGAAGATCCCAGAAATAGTATGTGACAAAATGAAAAATGTCTCCATGGTATTAACGAATAATGAATGTAGTTTACAGAAAGTTCGAGATGAATTTCTTACCTTTCGGGAGAATGGCTGGAAGAGCAACGAAAACAAAATATTTGAATGTTTTACTTCTGATACTAGAATCTTTTTCTTATTATATTTATCTTCCCTTTATTTTTCCCACTTTTCATTAAACACAAGCATGGAAAATATAAAAAATGCTTCTAATCTTATCACATGGACAGGCATTATGGAAAGGAATTTTTTTATTTATAAAGAAATTGAAAAAATTCATCCAATATGTATTAATGTATCACACACAGAGCTGGTGCTAGGCATTTTCCCAGCTGATGTAATTTCTGTGGATCCTAAATTCTGCTGCCTAGTGAATCTCTAAATGATTTGCCATTTCTAGATTTTGTTGCTCGATGTGTCTCTAAATTTTAAAAATTCTGCCACACCAGCTCTGTAACCGGCCCTTACCATATATATACAGTCAAAAGTCGTTAATCCGGACTCGTCGGGACTTCGGCGATTCCGGATTATCGATTTTTCCGGATTATAGATCATCAGTTTAAATCTCGTAAGATGGCATGCAGAAATTCTAAAATTAAAAATATGAAACCGTAATTTATGAAATAAAGAACAATTACGATCTAAAGGGTATCAAAATTTACAAAAAAAAAATGCTTAATATTTATTTGTTTACTTTATTAAACATTTCTTTCAATGTAAGTTGTTTAAGTTGCTTCATTTTATGTGATAATACTTTCTCTTTAATTCTATAAACAGACATAATTTCTTGTTCAGTTACAAAGTCCCGCAGTTCAAGTCCCGTTAATTGCTGTGCCGAGAATACCGACTAACTTGTCAATCGAAATTTTTTCGTTTTCACTAACCTCTCTATCACATTCATGTCTTTATCCATTTTTTGCAGCAATTCCACTTTTTGTTTGTTGGACATCGAAACATACTTTCGTTTTGTAGATCCTTTGGAAGTTCCAGCATGGGAAATTCTATCTGACATAATCGAAAGTTCAAGTTTACTTTTATAAAATTGCTCTTACAGTCTGCAAAAAATAATCAGCGGGATCCAATTCGAAGATTAAGGAACAGCGCAATCATTAACATTAACTGAAATAGATAATTAGATAATTTTAGCTTACACCGTCCGTTATACATTAAACGCGCAGGCGAAAACGTATTCTGCACTTGCGCACCCGCATATGCGCAGTAGTCAAGGTCTTATGCGCACGCGTAAAACGCCTGTGCGCATGTGCCAACGCGGCGCATGCGCAGAAAGTTTTTAGCTTTGAGGTCCGGATTATGGGTGTCTGAATTAACGACTTTCGACTGTATTTCATATTTCTTCTGAATGTTCATATTACTAAAGAAATAAAATTAGCAGCTTTTTCTATACATTCTTAATGCATTTAGTTTTTTTAGAATAAAAAAAAAAATCCTTAATTAAATCCAAAAATTTTAAAATGAAAAGGAAACATGTTGAAGAAAGAAACTGAATACATAAAAAAAGAATATTCTTCAAAAGATAGGTAAAGTTATTATTATATAAATTATTCATTTGTTTATGATTTCAACCTTTACTATAATTTCCCATTTCTATTTCCTCATATGATAGAGTTACTGAGCCAGGTTAAATTAAATTAAATTGCATAAGTCTTTGACCACTAGTCCACATTTTTAGTTTGAATTTGACTGTTCTTGTTTAATTATATCACCATTAGCTGTAATTGATTTTGTTAGCATCAGACACATGCCTTTATGTTTTAAGTTCTTTTAAAATGAGAGGCTTATTTAAACCTTTGTCTGACATTGTAGTTATTTTCAGATATAGCGATAATTTGTTTCACGTCTGTCGGAGGTGGCTTTGTACTATTTAACTTTTACAAGATCAAGTAAACCCTCATAGGCACATTGTGGAGAGGTTGCCAAGTTGGGTGATAAAGCAGGCAGAAACTAGTGAGAACATTGGTTTGCATATTGAGACAAATTTCTGAATTTCAAATTGTTAGAAAAGATAAAAGATGCTTAAAGGGAAGGAAATTGATATAAATTAGCCAAAATGTCTGGGAAGGCTTCAAATTAAAAAGATGCATAAATATTTTGTTGAGTGTTGTTGTCTGTAGCTTTTAATGTGTAATTATCTTAATATTGTTTAAGAATCAATGTCATAAATTATATGTATTTTAAACTGTGAAATTTTTCTAGACTGTGATTTTAATACGGCTGTTTTAACAAATATTATTAAAAAGTAAATAAAATTCAGTAGTGGCCATGAAAATCCCTAATGACTAAGGTTATCTAACTACCTAATTTAATTATTTATAACTAACTGCTTAACCTTTAAAAAATTATCTCTGCATGTTAAAGCGGGTTATTACCTTTCATTAATACTTACTGTGGTCACAAGATAAAACACAAAAATGTAAAAATTCATGTAAAGCTTATTCTTTGCATCTAGTGAAATAATACAAAACAACTAATCACTTCTGGTGCTTTAGTGGCTTATTGGAACCTTAAAGTATATTAACTGGGTTAAAACCCCAGAAACTCTACACGAAGTAATGGCACTAACTGCTTCAGACAGGCAGAGCACAACCAACTTGCCAACCGTTCCTGCATCACGCTTTCAGGTTTGCTCTGGTCAGCAGGCCTCTCTTACACTGTCTAGGCAAACAGCAGTGGTAGCAACAGCCAGTCTTCTGTAACGAATCATGATGATTATGATTTTGCTTCTCATTTTAACCTATGTCATTTGACATAAAATCTACCTGCTATTTACTAAACCTCTAAACTGAGCAAATAAGTGACAAAATGAGACATAAAAGAAAACAATCAACATAAAGCTAACTGTTAGTAAAATGTAACTAAAATGTCACTAATCTTCTTTCAAATATGTCCAACTATTATAAGTTGTTGATTATATATACTGTTATAAGTTTACCATTTCCTTTCACTTTTGCTGAGTTTAATGGATAGAAACGCATTGTGTTCCCAAGCTGAATTATACAATTGCATTAATGAGCTACCAACTGCAGTGTTTGATGCATCAGTACAAAGTATCAAGGTACCAGGAAATGTGTGTCTGAGAAGAGTCGCCATGCAGAGTAGCATGAGTAGCAAATGCTTTCTCAGCCTCGTTGTTCCATTCGAGAGGGCATTCTTCTGTTTTGCTTGGCTGTGAAGGTTTCTTTTTATTAATGTGGTTTCCCAATAACCTACTCAAGGGTGCTATAAAACATGCGAAGCTCTTAGACAAAACGTCTGTAAAAGTTAAATATGTCGAGAAATTTCCTTAACTGAGTTAAAGTGTTTGGTTTAAAAAAATATTCAATGGCTTCCACTCTGTCGAGTAAAGGTTTTAAACCTCTAAAAAGGTTTTAAATCCTGTTCAGATACATAAAAACCTAAAAACTCCAAAGAGTATGTGTGTATCTAAATGCAAAGTTAAAACAAAATTGCATTTAGATACATTAACTCTTAACCCATAATTGCTTAGTCTTTCAAAAAGAGCTTTCAAGTGTATCAAATACTCAGTATCGTCCTTTGACGCAATCAATATATCGTCAACAAAAGCAAATACTCCTGGCAGCTCCACGAGTTACTTCATCAATAACGCATTGAAAGGTTGCAGCTGTATTGCATAGCCCAATCTGCATTCATGTGCTCTCAAAAAGTCCAATAGGAGTGGGCATAGCCATTTTATGAATATTGGAAGGATTAATTGGAATTTGATGATAGGCTTTTACCAAGTCTAATCGAGAAAATATGTTTGCTCCATGCAACTCCGCTGCAAAATCACAAATGTTGGGAATAGGATACTTATCCCTCACTGTCTGAGCGTTTAACCTCCGAAAATCTCTCACAGGTCTCCATTAGTTTTTGCCTTTCTTTGACACCATGTGAAGAGGAGAGAAGTAATTATTTCTGGAGGGTCACATGTGGCCTAAATTAATTTTTTTTTTTTTTTTTTTTTTTTTTTTTTTTTAATTTTATTCTTAGTAATTTTTAGTCTATTTGGAGCTGGTTTCCTAGGCTTACGTGAAACAGGAGGACCAATAGTTTCAGTGAAATGCATAGTGGAATATTATACTCAAGATCATTTATGATCAGGAAGCTTTGACAGTGAAGGATAGTTAGATGGTAATTTATCATATATACTATTTGCAATAATTGCTTTTATAGAATACAAATGTTAGTTACACAACAATTAATTTTTAAATGTGTTTTTAAATCAACAAGCTTTTTGTTCCTTAAATCAGGTAGTAAATCAAAATAATGCAAAAAATCAGAACCAATAATATTCGTTGATACTTTACATACTTAAAAAACAAAATTAAAATTACGACGAGGACCAAGGTCAAGACTTAAAAGTTTTTTTGTCCCTGAAGCGGAACTGCTGTTGGCAACAGAAAACAGCATATTAGGTGTCTGATGCATTTCTTTTTTAGTTGCAGAGGAGACTGACGTCTGAGCTAGTGTCCCACAAAAATATTTTGACTTTCTGCTTCTAATAAAAAGGCAATGAGACTCGAAGTAAAGTGGAAGTCACTATTACACTTTCCCTGGTTCGTTTCCCTGGAACGTACATGGTGGAATACATTTTTTTGGCTTTCTCATTAGATTTGTGATGATACCAGCAATAGGAACAATTCATAGCAGCTTTAGCTGAAGGGCTGTTGTAGCAGTTTTTGGAAACTGTGTGATCATCGTAGAGGCAATACCTTACCGCACAGTTTGCAGACTTCATTCAGTAGGGAATCCAATTTAGAATTATTAGAAACATTTACTGATACAGATGAAGAAACTGTGCTTACCTGAGCGGGTGTAACAAATTTTGATTAGCAATGCTGACAGCTCTCGAAGAATCTAGTGGCTCAACTGATGTGAGGATAGATTGAACATTTGACAGCATTTGGTGAATAAACAATTCTAGTAACAATGAATCAGATATATTGTGTTTTTTAGCAC